GGTTCACTGATGCCCAGCCGCGAGGGATCCGGATGGAAGTAGAGAGGGGACAGCTGATTGATCAGCGTCCTGCTACAACTAACAGTAGGACGCCGATCAATTAGTGAGCCGCGGCTTTATGCCGAGTGCTCGTACTTGCGGAGGCGGAGTCCTGCTTTGCGCCTGCGCAGTCCGCCGTTGCCAAGCGACGTTGTAAACGTGCTCCCGGCCGAGTAGAGGGAATTCCTCTTTGCGCCTGCGCAGTGGGTCTTCGCCACCCCGAGGCGGCTCGTACTCGCGAACGAGCGTCACACCACTGCATACTATTTAAACAGTACAGCAGGAAAAAATACTACCACCCTTTACTAGAGAATTGGAGTATATGGGTTAGACTGGAATCAACACTCCTAGGAGTGTCCGGATATACAGGCTTCCCTTGATCATGCTTCCCTTTCTGACATCACTGCTCTCTGAGTTTGTTCTACCTGCCTTCAACATCTGCCCACCAGTTAGTGTTTCAGTATATACTGTGCTCTGTTATTCTTGGTCAGGATTGTGCATGCTAACTCCCCAACCTGAACAGTGAATGAATCTGATTGAAAAATCAACATTTATGTAGGTGGTTCCTACAGAACCAACCAAACTCAGATTTTAGCTGATTCAGCAGGAATTGGGAAAATACTGTATGTGTATTGTATGCCTAGTTTAAGACTAGCCAGTCAAATGGGGTAGAAAGGAGATGGCAGAAGACAATTGGGTGCAGGGACTATGAATCTAGTCTTGAAGATAGATAGGTAAAATGATAGAGCGCTATGGGGCCAGGGCACAGGGGGGCCCAGCCAGGACGAGTAACAAAGGGGTCCCCCTGATGCTGTGCGGGCCGCCTGGGTCGCTTAGGCATCGCAGACTGCTGACTGTTACTGGCGGCTGTGAGGAGAAACGCACTGCTGTCCAGATCACTGACAACCTGTCAGTGATCTGTGCAGCGGTGCGTTCCTCCTCACAGCCACTGATGAGTCAGTGACAGGAGACAGGGCCCGGTGGTGGAGGAGGCTGACAGCGGATCAGGGCAGACAGGTAAGAGGTGTGCAGGGGTGTGACCAGCCCACCCGAGACTCTACAGAGCCCACCATAGACAGTCTATGGTGGGCTCTGCAGGGTCACTCTCAGGTGGGCTGTTTGGGATCTCCGGTGGGCTCTGCAAGGGGTGTAAATAGAAATCACAGGGCCCCATACCAAATTTTGCTAGTTCTAGTTGCGCCCCTGAAAATCTGTAGTGGGATTTGAAGAAGCCGTTTGCAGCACGCAAACCCAAGAATATGAGTGAACTGGAGGCAATTACTCATGAGGAATGGGCTAAGATTCCTCAGTAACGCTGGCAGAAGATGGTGTCTGGCTATGTATCTCATTTACAGGAGGTCATAACAGCAAAAGGGTGCTCTACGAAGTGCTAAAGATGCTTGACCGTGAAGGGGTTGAATAATTTTGAGATTGCAGAAGTCATTAAAAGTTGAATATTCAGTTGAATTTGAGGAAACAACTTGAAGCATTTGTTGTGATTACCTATTTCAATTGATTTTGTTTGATTTGTTCATTGCAAACAGTTAAAAGTCTGTAAATTCTGCAAATAAATCTGATTTACAATGGGGGTTGAATAATAATTTTGATTACAACTGTATATAGAAGATAGATAGACAGATAGATAGATAGATAGATAGATAGATAGATAGATAGATAGATAGATAGATAGATAGAATAACATATAATAACTAATATATAGTGTAATGGATCTACATTACAGACTGACATCCTCCCTGCTTGCCCCCAGCTGCAGGCAATATGAGGCAATGCAAGCTTAATCATTCTCATACTGTACATAATACAGAGGAGGAGAAGGAGGAGGTGGAGTCATTCAGCAACCAGATCTCTATCCAGAAGTTAAAATCAATGTATGCTGATTAGCATTGGGACTTCACAGCCCAGCATATGAAGAAGCTTGCACGGGGGGGATCAAACAAAGTAAAAGAATCCCACTCCTGGGAAATGGCAGGAGAGAATCCAAGGTACAAGGAGGCTGTAAGAAGAGAGAAGGAAGACTCATTGTCATATCTTACTGTCATGAGCTGTCCTGCTGGATGACAGAGTGTTTGTATATATTGCTATGACAATGGACAAACATGAGAAGTGTCTTTCAGTTTAGGAAACAGTGACACCTCGAAATTTCAATATATTCCATTTTTATTCTGGGGGTCCAATACACTTTAAAAGCCAACTCCGGACCCCTGCACAGAAAGGATTTACTTGCTTGTTCAAGCTAGAGTTGCAAGTATAGGGACTTAAGGTAGCCATTCACACTTATGAGCCTTGATCAAGGAATTTCCCACTGTCTTCATTGTATTCTGACGGTGGCTGCCTCTGTCAGAATACCAGGACAGAGCCAGCAGCTCATTGGCTGCCAGCTCTGTTCATTCAAAGATTTTCCAATGGGCTCTTTGGATCAGCTGATCAAGGGATGCTGACCAAAAGGATGCAAACAGCAGAACCCAACGTGCAAATTCCTAATGAACCAGCTGAAATTTAGATCGTGTATGGCCACCTTAAAGGTTACCTTACATGTTCCACCATATATTCCTCTCTGTGGTGCTCCATACACTCGCCTCCTTCATTGAACATGACCACACCAAGGGACCACCCACAGATCAGCGTGCCAGGAAGAAGAGGAGAGCACCAGAGCCTGCAGGAGCAGGAGGGGTAAGGTGCATAATGTCTCCTCTTCTTGTACCCCCCAGACCTAACAAGCATTTAACTCTTGCAGTATAGAGGGGGCCCACTGCAAGGGCTTTTTTGTGTCTTGTGAGGCCAGAGGCTCTCATCTGCACCTAAGCTCCTGTATCATGTCTCCTGCGTGTTCTTGTCTCTCTTGTGGTTCCTTGCCCCCATAGTGGGCAGCGTTGGTTGCAGAGTTTGTGTTCCTATTTGTTTCATGGTGTAGTCTTTTCTAGTAATGAGTCCCTTTCCTGAGGAACATTGTCAAAACGCATCAAGTTCGTACTCCAGCCTATCATTGTAAAGACAGCATCTCCAGACCAACAATTCTTACTTTCTCCAATCACCCTGGCACACATTTGATTATACTTTGGATTTAATTATATTATTGCCGTTCGCCTGGTGTACAAGGGACGATATATACACCATGAAGGATTCCTCTCTTGTGTTTAGCAATACTCTGTTTTTATTATGATATACAGAATGTAAATAAAATATTTTTGTTTTAAATCATTTGCATTTTCTGCTATAAATTTTAAAAACTAGGGCACCAACAATTAAAATCCCACTTTTTTCTGTTCTGTACGCTATGTGTGCAACCCTAAGGAGTTATTTAAAGATCACTGCACCCTTAAAAAGCACCAAAGGCCACTTTAATTTTACCTTCCTCATTGACTCCAATGCATTCACTAAAATGGCAAACTGGCAAACTAAATAATTAAAAAAAAAAAAAGTAAACCCCCCTCTCCCCCACCCCCCATACCATCATTGCAGAGGCCTTTTTTTTCAGAGTGCTGTGCTTTGTAACAACCTCATCAAAGTCATATTAGCCAGTTCCACATGTTTGCAATGAGATCTGTGTGCCAGTATGTTTATTTACCTCTGTGGGGGAGGGAGGAAAGCTTTTCAGTGGCACAATTCAGTAATCAGTTGTTTTTACATCCAGCAGAATGAAGTTGGTGATTTTCTTGGGGATGATGCTGTGACACTATCACTTATTTACTGGGACTTAAAGTGATTATTGCAAACTCAGCTGGAAGCACACTGGACTCTTGTTCCAGCAGGCTTGCATCGTTCCCAGCTAGCACTTCTGCAATACAGTGGTGTCTCAGAAGAGATCCTGCAAGAGCAAAACCTTGACATATCATTTTCCTTATACTGTATATTTATTATTTTCTCAACAGCGCCATCTACCGGCCCTTCCGCAAAATGCAGCTCAGTGACATTCAACTCTTTTTTTTTTTTACTTTGGAGGGGAGCGAAGTCTGGCATTATAAACTTTGCCACTGTCTAAGGGGGGCACTTTTTTTCTTGGAATTCTGCTATGTTTAAAAGAAAAACAGAAAATCCCTCCATAATTCATTTAAAAAAAATAAAATTAAAAAAAGTTGTGTAATAACTTCAAACTGCATCCCTGTGTTTTTAACCCTTCCAAGACAGTACAGCTGATGGTTACAAAAAAAGCAAGTTTGATGAATGCTTAAATGATCTAGTGCAAGGCATGGCCACGTGACTGCAGCAGCTGTCAAACTACATACACTTTGGCAAAAGTTTTCCCAATTTTTTTTTTTTAATGCTTAGTTCTGAAAAGTCTACATCAAGTCCCCTTTTTTTTAGCTTGCAGATCTCTATGTACAATTAGAAAAAAAAATCAGGTGGTGACAGCCTATGCAGTGGTTGCAATTATGGTAATTGCATGCCTTTTTTTTTGCTTTTTTTTCTTTAAACTCACCCCTGCCAAGAGAAGAAAAAAAAAAGTGAATGAGTTTTTTTTCCCCCTTAAGTTCCCTCCTCCCTGAGTCCCTCCCCTAATAAAGACAGGATCCCCAGCTCTATTTGCACTGCTTTTAAAGACCCCCGTAACTCTGGAGGAAGAAAGGCTGCAGCATAAAAAAAAATAGAGGAAATGTCAAAGGAGAAGGTCTGGAAAAAATTAATCGCTGATGGTTTGGAGAAGTTCTCTTAAAGAGGGCTCCACACTGGTGTGTCAGCCTCACACATACAGACTGTACACTGATGCTGCACATCTGGACTGCCCACTGCTCCATGCACTGCACTCTATGTACACTACCAGCTCTGGGCAGATAGACAATAAGCTCTTTTTAATAGTTTTTATATATTTTTTAGTCTAGATAGATTTTTTTTTAAAGCAAACTTGGAATACAAGTGGATTTTTTTTATTTTAAATTTTTTTTTTTTTAACACAACCACTTACTTGCTCCAAGTGGGTTTCACTTTTTTTTATGGTTGCTTTTGCTGAGCATACTTCATCTGTTATATTACCTCAGTGTTGGAAACTGTTTGCTGAAGAAGACCACACAAAGCCTGTGACCACCGGAACCGTGGGAGACTCAAGGTACAGTGATGTTTGAATGCAGAGCAAAACTTTGTGCTGCTTCTTTATTCTACACGTGATGCGAAGTTTCTTCTTCTCTGGGCAGCAGGACTTGGTGGACAGGCTGTGGGGGCTGGAAGGGGGTGGACTTGCTGGGGCTTGTAGTGCTAGAGCAGATGTAGGGGTGTGATGGATCTGCTTTTGCTGTGGGGGTAGGCTGTGGGGCTAGGGGGTGACCTGCTGAGAGTTGTAGTTCTACAGCAGCTATTGAGGGGTGATGGGTCCGCTTTTGCTCTGGGGGTAGGCTCTGGGACTGGAAGGGTGACCTTGTGAGATTTGTAGTTCAACAGCAGCTATAGAGGGGTGATAGGTCTGCTTTTGCTCCCATCAGTGGTCCTGGTGGCAGGCTGTGGGGCTAGGAGGGTGACCTTCTGAGACTCGTAGTTCTACAGCAGCTATAGAGGGGTGATGGGTTTGCTTTTGCTCTAGGGTCAGGCTGTGGGGCTGACCTGCTTAGACTTGTAGCTCTATAACAGCTATAGAAGGGTAATGGGTTTGCTTTGGCTCCCATCATTAGTCTAGGGGGCAAGCTGTGGGACTGGTAGGGTCACTCGCTAGTATTTGTAGTTTTACAGCACCTATAGAGAGGGTGATTTTCTTTTAGCTCCCTTCAGTGGTCGTAGGGGCAGGCTATGCGACTGCTAAAGTGACCTACTGGGATTTGTAGTTCCACAGAAGCTATAGAGAGGTGATTTGTCAGCTTTTGTTTCCATCAGTGGGCCTGGGGGAAGGCTGTGAGACTGATATGGTGACTTGCTGGAACTTGTGGTTCTACAGCAGCTAAAAAGGCACCACGTGCCTTCTTCACATCCTGATTTGGGGTATTTTTGCAAAATTCTACTTTTTTGCTCAAGTGAGTAGTAGACAGATCACATTCAACTGGACTTGTACTTTAATATATAACTGGACAGTACAGTGCATGTTTTTATGCATTCTATTAGCTATATCATACTATCATACCCTGAAAAACGTTTCAGAAAAATGTTCCTGCAGGTAGCAATATATATATAAATACACACCATACAAATAATAAACACATGTGCTATTTGCATGCAACAGTAACATTTATTTTGATTTGTATTATTTATTTGTATATTTTGTTTATGCAGAGGGCATCATCCATCCGCCGGCCTGCAATACACTCTCCCAGTCAGTCTCTAATAACTGTTACATGTGTGTGTATTGTAATAGAATGTATCCATTCATTGTAGTACTCAGCCCCTTCCGTTATAACAAGTACAGGAATACGTGCCAAGGACTTGTCTAGGTATGGGGGGGTTGTCAAGTCCAACCTCAGAGGCAATGACAAAAAGACTTAAGGATGAGGTGACACAGACACCTCTATTGAAAATGCAAATGCAGGGTGGGCTTTGTCAGAGGCTGTGCCCATTGGCAGAGGTGTCTTCACACCTCTCCAGCTCAGCATTTGAATGAAAGAAGGATGTTCTATTCATCCTTCAGGCTTGTCCTAATTCCCATTTGTTGCAGCAACATAGAGGGGTATTAAAACTGTTGCATTATTCCAATAAACAAATCTCACACAGCTCCATTGTATTCACAGTATTTAGAGTTCAGTTCCATTGTATCAACACTTTAGATTGTCTAGAACTGAGATTTATGAATACCAGGCGCATATATTAACCAATCACACCTTAGCATTAAATTCTCTAACATAGAGATCCCTGTTTTTTTAAAAGATGTGGCCCAAGTGTCAATGAGAAGGGGGTTGGCAATTGAAAGAGTGCCAGTGATACCTCAATAATATTGGCACAACTGAATATGTGATCATCTGCAAAAAATTATTCTGGGAGACCATTTGGGGGCGGGGTGACTCACAGCTGTGCATCCCTGCTCTATCTTGTACGGTGGAAATGCAATTTGGATTCTGGTTGCTATTAACAACAGCTCTTTGCTCCTCTGGATCACAGTATTCAAACTTTTACATTGTACTGGCAGCTTAGAATTATATATCAATGACAATAGTTGATTAAAAGTGAAGAAAAGATGATTGTTGCTATAACAACCAGATAGAATGTAACCTTAATTCTCTAACATGCACTAGGGGATGATCTTCCGAATGTAACAGGTTGCCCTGGGCAACAGCTCTTCCCTGCTCCATTCTATCATAGTTCTTAGTATTCAAAAACTTCTACATTGTATCAGCTAAGAGTTCTAGTGTTCTGGCAAATCTACAATTATTACAGCGGGGCTGATTCCTGAAAACTGTTGCCAACGAAATACAAATATCCATAGCAATAGTCATCAGGCTTCAGCTTTCCATCTCTGATCTGCACTGGGAAAAGATCCATGAGCTGTCACTGGTTGCTATTAGCAACAGTTCATGGCTGCATTGCATTAGCTTCTTAGAATTCCATAAAGGGGTTACATGATATCATTAATTTAGAATAATGTAACTATTATTTTTCTATTAGCCTTTTAGAATTCTTTACTATAATCCAGGAGCCTTTTAGAATGTTGTAACTGATACTTTGTATGAGTCATATACAGTACTCTAGATGTTGCATTGTATGAACCATTGAAAGTTCTATAGATGTTAAATTGTAGGATCCATTTGGGGTTCTATAGATGCTACATTGTAGGAGCCATTGAGAATTCTATAGATGTTACATTGTAGAAGCCATTTAGAGTTCTATAGCTGTTACATTATATGAGCCATTTAGAATTCTATAGATGTTACATTGTAGGAGCCATTGAGAATTATATAGGTGTTACATTGTAGAAGCCATTTAGAGTTCTATAGATGTTACATTATATGAGCCATTTAGAATTCTATAGATGTTACATTGTATGAGCCATTTAGGGTTCTAGAACTGTTACCTTGTATATGAGCCATTTAGAGTTCTTTAGATGTTTCCTTGTATGGGCCATTTAGAGTTCAATAGATGTTACATTGTATGAGCCTTTTAGATTTCTACAGCTGTTACATTGTAACAATCCAAGGTTTAGACAGCCTAGGTTCTCCTTGCTTTGATAATTAGACTGAAACGTGGCATGCAGGGTACCTACTTCAATAAAAGCCTGTTTAATGATGTCCAGGGTGAGGTTACTGGCAGCTCAGCAGCCTCCAGATAGCCATGCTGTATTAGAAAACCACATTTGTGATCCCTCCCTGCTTGGGCTCCAACCCAGAGCTCCGCTGGATCCAACAGTCGGAGTTATAACGTTATTTGGCACATTTCTAGCATAATGAAAAGCTAAGTCATTAACAGAGGCAGGGCCAGCCGGAAAGAGAGACAGAAACAAGCACGTGGGATTATAATACGCACATAAGGCTCAATTCACAAAGCTAACACATCAGGATGAGTATCCTTATTTTCTTTTAAACGTGACAATTATTTCCAGTTGGGTCCAACGAAATATGAAAATTACAGTCACATGGCTGAAAGCACAGTGCCTAAGGGTAGCGTCAAAGCTGCGTTAATTAAGCGTAATGTGATTTTTGCAAGAGACTCAATTTGTGACATTACTTATTTCGAGTGAAGTCAGCAGCAGCAGCAGCAGCAAGCTTGTTTGCTCAGAAAGTCAGGAGTGAGCAGAGTATTTAATCATAAAACTCCCTGTACAGAGAGACCAGTGTATGAGGTTTGGCTCAGCTCCTGAGCAGCAAGCTACCAGAATCATGAAGTTGCCTCTTGTACTCCCTTGCTCCACGTGATCCGTGTGGGGGAATACCTTTGACGTCACAGAGATGTAGACCTCCCTGAATGACGCAATAACTGCTTTGGCTGGGGTTGGACAGCTGCTGTAGGCTGGAGGAGTTCCCTGTGCTGGAAGGCTGAGCTAGAGGTAGCAGAGAGAGAGAGAGAGAGATGGGTGATTCCTAAAGAGGTGATGACAGCCCAGAGATAATCTGGTACTTTATTCTGGGAGCTTGAAGCTGTTCCAGGGGGGACAGGAAGCTGTTATCTCTACATATATTAAAAGGGAAACTTTCCATCGGAATATAGTGAGCTTTGGATTCCTCACCGTCACCTTCTGCTTTATCTACTAGGGCCAAATATAGAACATACCCATTTTTATTCCATTTATAGTGAACAGACTATAGTGCTCAGTCCTTTGGGCTATTCAAGGAAACATGGACTGAGGGTATATGCATACAGCTTTTGCTGAATATTTGGAAATGCTAGATGCCTAGTCAGGGCAGTCTTTAACACAGGGCAAAAGGGGCAGTTGCCCGGGGCCCAGTAATTGTTCTGGGGCCCAAAGCAGCTGCCCCTTGAGCCCGCAAAAGATACACATGTGTCACCGTTCTGTTTACTAAGCGATCTGCATTGCGTAGTGTTGCTCAGGCCCCTGCTGTACGCCGCATAGCGCAACGTCTCATGCAGGGTCATCTCTCCCTCTAAGGTTTCCTCCTATCTGCTCTTTTGGAGAGCGAAAGTGCATGGCGGGAGAGGGGCAGGGGGCCCAAGAAAATGTTTGCCCAGTGTCCAATTAATATTAAAGACGGCCCTGTGCCTAGTTGTTGTGCTGATCCAAAGGCTTTAATGCTTTCTGGGTTCCCAAACAAGAACAAGTATGTCGAATGGGAGTTTGGATTTTGCTGACCTCATTAGATGCATGCTTGTTCTGGGTCATTGGCCTAGAAAGCTTGTATTTTCAGAATGAGGATAGGGATGTCAGCCTTCATATTTCTCCCAGTATAGTTTTCCTGTATATTTGTTATAGATGTTATACCTTCTATTGTTATATTTTTCCACCAGCACTCTATATTGATAAGGTTGAATGAGAAAAAGTACCAGAACGCAGTGTAAGTTTGGTCACAGATGGTCGGATGACACATTGAGGTAGTGAGACATCTGCCAATCCTCTAATGATTTGCTTGCCTGCCGCGGTTGATGGATGTGGCGTACTTGCGGGGATAGGTTCATCCCCTTCTTTTCATAGAAAAATGAGTGATTGGCTGTAGGTCACGCCAAAATTGTACAACATATTACAAA